ATTAATATATATATATATATATATATATATATATATATATATGTGTATGTACTTATCACTTTCACACTAATCAAAAAATTTTAACTCCTACTAGAAGTTAGGCCTAGAAATGAACATTTGATCTTAACATAAGTGTGTATAAGTTTTGGGCTAAAGTAATCCTTACAGAAATCCTACTATTCCAAACTCTGCTATTTTTGGCATATGGAAATAAAATGAGCAAGTGGTGATGTAGTACTGCACTTCAGGTTCTTAAAATAAAGATATCTAGTTTAACTGCCAGTCTCACATGTTGTTGGCCTAACTCACCAGTATTCTTTCCTGCATGAGAATCTACCCTAAATGTTGTTGGCCTAACCCACCAGTATACATTCCTGCACAAGAATCTACCCTAAATAATGTTGGCCTAACCCACCAGTATACATTCCTGCATGAGAATCTACCCTAAATGTTGTTGGCCTAACCCACCAGTATACATTCCTGCACGAGAATCTATGATGCATGTTACTGGCCTAACTCACCAATAGATATTCCTGCATGAGAACCCACACATTTGATGTTCACTTGGGAAATGGCTCCCATACGGAGCTGGTCAAAAGCCCGGGTGAAGAAAGCAGCAAAAGTGCTTACAAATGGAACTGTGCGCCCCCTTGTGGAGCAACCAATGGCCACACCAACAAGATTTTGTTCAGCAATGTAGCACTCAACATAACGGTCTGGAAAAGCTTTCTTGAACTTATCAGAGTAGGTGGAATTCTTGGTGTCACCATCCATTGCCACCACCCTCTCATTGTTGTGGCCAAGCTTTGTTAGGGCTACACCATAGGCCAATCGTGTTGCTACCTGGAATGAAACAATTAAACTTTAGAACATCTCTTGTAACAGATCACTTTCTTCTTGTACTTATAACTTATGAGACAAGTTAGGACTTACCTTCAAAATATAAAATATTCAAAACTTTCCTCAAACAGTTAGTAATTAAAAAGTTAATGATAAAACAATTTAAATTAAAGCGTGTCTTTCGTCATGAATTACATCTCAAGTTGAGGGAGATTATAACAATTAACTCAAACTGTAATGGTTTTTTTTTTTTTTATGCAGTTTCAATCACCTTGTCTCCAATATTGTAGCTTGGAGGTTCAGATAAAGAAATGTTAGAGATATCCACAGCAGGTGCGTCTTCCTTCAAGGGCTTCTGGGGACATAGCTGAGGGGGACCCTGGTTAGACATAGACTTTATAATAGCATTAATGGCATCATCAGCTTTATCTCCTAGAGGCTTACCATGCCAGTTTTCTTCATCTTCAATTCCTACCAAAACGAAAAGACATCATTACACTGCCAACTGAAAGTTTAGGATTTTAAATCAAGGGCAAGAGAATGATTCATTTAAGAGTCTTTTCTTAAACTGATAAACAAGAGACTAGTAGAGTGAATATATTCATGTATACAGTTCATACCTATCAGCAGGTGTAACTAACTTGCCCTACAGTCCGAGACAAACAAACATGATGACGCTTAAGGAAATGGTCCAACTGACCAGTACAAGCTTTCAAGAAAATATTTTATCACAGTACAAAGTTTCCTCAGGAGAATTTCTTAATCGCTCCATGCGACCTCACTTAATAACACTCACCACTCAGACAGTAGCAACATAATACACAGTGTAGTCAGCTTTACTAAAGTATCACTTTGTTACATTAGTCACTTGTTTGAACTCCTGTATACATCAATTAATTAAGCGACAACTGTAGCTCAAACATTTCATTAGTTAACTATCTATGATTTTTTTTTTTCCACCATCCAAACTAAACATTTCAATAAATGCAAGTTAGGAATTCTATTTTTAGTGTCAATGTTTCATAGTTTGAAGTTTTCTTAATTAATGTCTGGGTCAAAAGTTAGTTGTTTTGTAGTCTCAAATGTTCCAGGGTTAAAATGGACCTGAAAGTTCTGTAACTAAGAAAGGGATGGTGTTCACAGATATCAAGTTGAGGATATACATATATAAAATTTCCAGTAATGTAAAATAAAGATAAAATCATTACAGTTTATTAACAATCAATAGTGTTTAATATTGAACACTTGGCTGCAATAATTTCAGTTTGTCGATGGTTACAGTCTACTCAATACCAAACACTTGATCACAACATTCAGTTTTTTTTTTTTTTATGGCTCTAATCTATAGATCTATGAATGTAACATATATGGAAAATCAAATTCTACCAAACTTTTGTTTTTATTTTCTGCCATATAGTAAAGTTGCAGTGGCCTATTCTGACGTTTGTATGACCAACACCCCTAAAAAACTAAAGCATAATTTTGTCCTTATTGTGATAGAATATTTACATTTAAATCACTAAAACTAACCAGAATGGTATTTACACTTCACAAGACTTACTGGCCAATCCCTACATAAGCTTTATTCAAAATGAAAAAGTATCCATGGTTACTTCATCTACCAGCAGTGTTACTTTCCCTATGTCACATAATATTCATCTTCATGAAAACTCGTGATAATATCTCAAACTCTACTTTATTACATGTAACTAAGATATGCTAAATTTAGTCAATTTCTATTATACAGTTGTTACAACTGTGTTTTAATTAGAATAATTCAACTGTTGGTGTTAGGTCACCATGGCACCCTACAAGCTTCTGTAGATGTCACTAAAACTGTGACACGGAACAAGACAAAAAGCCAAGTAGTGAAACTTAAAAACTCAACAAACAGCCATTTTATTACATTCAAGTAGATTATCAACTCAACTGCAGATGCTACAAGTTATTAATAACACTTGAATGTAATAAAATGGCTAGATTATCAAGTCAACAAATCAACTGTAGATGCTACAAGTTATTAATAACACTTGAATGTAATAAAATGGCTAGATTATCAACTCAACAAATCAACTGTAGATACTACAAGTTATTAATAACATTTAAATGTAATAAAATGGCTAGATTATCAACTCAACAAATCAACTGTAGATGCTACAAGTTAGTAATAACATTTAAATGTAATAAAATGGCTAGATTATCCTCAGAAATACCAGTGTTATAAAAAAATTAATTTTGTTACTTTTATCAAATTAAACTTTTTAGGTATGTTTATGTGTACTAGTAGTATGACAAGAGCTTTTCATCCAAAAGTTATTTACTTAAAAGTAACATTCAAAAGTTCGATTCATTACTGTTAATTAACCTAACTAATACTTGATAACGAGGAACCCACTTTTTGGAAAATAAAAGTTTTGAAATGGCTTGACTGGGTAATGAAAAAAACTAAAAATATATGTATTACATTTCGACAAGATTTTGTCATCCTCAGGTACACGTAGTTTACAGAGATATGCTCGCATGTGTGTGCGTGCAGATACTACAGGGATACTAAAAATTAATAATACACTAATGTTTCTCTATTTGTACCTCAGGATGACAAAACTTTGTTGAAATTTTGTACATTTATGATAGTTTTTTTCATTACCCACTCAAGCTGTCTCAAAACTTTTGTAACCTAACTAATATTTTCAACGAGACTTAATATACTGGGTTAAGCTATTAAGTGCTTTACGAACCTGGGATGCCCTTTCCTTTATAGGTTTTGGCCAAGACAGCCGTGGGTTTATCTTTAACGGTCCCAGCGTCATGAAAAGCCTTGCAGAGGGCTTCAACATCATGCCCATCTATAACGTACGTATTGAAGCTACAGAGAGAAAGAACTGAGATAAAAACTATAGGAAGAAAACATTACTTCAAAACACATATAATCAAAAGTTGAACCATCACAATAAATCAATACTTCCAGCCTTACCCAAAGGATTCTAGGCGATTTTTATATAACTCCATCTCATGTTGAAAGGCAGTGGGTTCACTCTGACCTAGGCGATTAATGTCAAAGATAGCCACTAGGTTGTCCAGTTTGTATTTACCAGCAAAAGAAAGAGCCTCCCAGATCGAACCTTCTGCTGCTTCACCATCCCCAATGACACAATATACTCGATAACTATAACAGGGTGAAAACCATTAACCATTAAACAAAAAAAAAAAAAAAAAAGAAAAAAAAAAAAAAAAAAAAAACAAAAAAAAAAAAAAAAATAAAAAAAAAAATAAATAATAAATAAATAATAATAAAATAAATAAATAA